GAGGGAGGGGGTGAGACCTGCAGCCTGGGCCCCGCACAGCCTTGCCTCTCCCTCAACAACCCAAACCCTCCTGCTCCCACCTCGAGGGGAGCGTCCCAGCCCCTACCTCGCCCAAGGAAGCTCTTGTTCCCCTCAACTTGGGCGGGCTAGGGGCAACCGTTCTAATTCCTGCACTTCAGCCACGCCGTTGCCCCAGGTCCACCAGCACTGTGGTAAGCCTGGCCGCCAGCCTTTCCCAGGACACCTCACACAGGGCCAGAGCAGATCCCAGTTCCCCTCAGTGCTGCTGGGGGAACATCAGGCTCTCCAACACCCCCTGAAAAAGGCCAAGGCAGCACATGCCACAGAAGGCAGGCAAGGAAGGGAGCAGGTCTGCCAGAACTCTCCTCCTTACTCCACAGAGAGAAGTCCTGGGCTACCTCAACTGCCGACATCCAGCAGAGCTGCAGATGCTGGGGCTCGGGGCACAGCTCAACCACAACCGCTTCCTGCAATGAAGTGACCACAGCACAGCCCTGGGGGTACCTGGCAGCTGAAACACAGGCATCATCTCACTCGGAGCCTGTTTCAGACCGGCTTGGCCTCTGAACCAGAGCAGATCGCCGACAGAGCGTAGCTGGGGCCAAGCCAGAAATGGGTGCGCTGAAGCCAGTAAGGTGAAGGGAGCAGGAAAAAGGAGCGGTGCGGCGCAGCCCAGGGCATTCACAGCTCACAGGTGCCCTGATAGTTCTTTATTGTCCTCTGAGCTGGGTGGTAGCTCAGCCATGTCCAGCACAGGAAAACTGCCTCCTGCACCTGCCCTGGGAGGCAGCACCAGTGTCCACAGTGATGCCACGGAGTCCCACTCTCAGCCTCTTCTGTTGGTCCCAGCAAAGCCCGGTTCCCAGCCCTTTCTGTTCCTCTGCGTCTCGCCAGCACCGCCATGCTCATCTGCTGCAAAAATCCTGCCTGCTCCAAGCAGCCCCGGCATCTTGGCACAAGCACAGCGCACACAACCGGCACACAGGAGACAGGCTCAGCCAAATGTGCACCAGGGGGTCTCGCTTGTGTCACAGTCCAGCAAAATATTAAGGACGGTGCAAGGGGCTCCTGCCACACTCAGAGCTGTCCGTGACTCAATTCGGTACCTCACGTTGTTCAGACCTCCCTCCTGATCCACCTTAAACTGCTCCTGAGGAAGAGAAAGACTATTCAGCCCGCGCTGGCTTCCAGCGGAGGGGGAAGCACCCAGTGCCCGGGGAGGGAGCGCAGAGCTGGCAGGGGATGACATGAGAAAGGAGGGCTCAGAGCACATGGTGACCGCAACCCAAATCTCCCGTGGTTCCCCTCAACCACGCTGAGGTCTCACCTGCTTCTGCGCAGCGATGCGCTTCTGGTCTCTCTTCCTCCAGGCTGGGTCATGCAGGTGCTGGAAAGTCTCGTATCCAGTCGTGATTCCAGAGGGACGGCGAACCTGGAAGGAAAGCAAAGCTTCTGTAAAGCTACTGGAAAACTTGCTGCGCCTGCTACTGGAGTGCGGAGTGCAGAAGGGCTGCCTTCCCCAGGTCCCGACCTGGGCGGCTACAGCCAGGGGCCAAGCAGGGAGACAAGGAGAAGGGCAATTTTAACCTAGGAGGCCAGGAAGCACCCCTTACCTGGAGACCGGCTCCTTTGATACGTCGATAAAACTCGTCGTCCTCCCGTCCCCAGCCCCAGAAGCGGTTGGACATGCCGTTGCACTGAAATGAGAGGGGCGTTGTACTGGCCCAGGTCTGGTCCAGCACAACTCCATGCGCTGCAGAGGAGCAGACACCAGCATCGCAAGCCCTGAGCACCAGCACAGCCTCCCCTCTCCTGCCCCCCACCAGATCACACCGCAGGCTCTGTCCCCGAACCATTTTGACTCTTTTCCACCCTTCCCAAGCGTGGAGCACAAAATGTACAACTGTTCACCAAGACAATGTTATAGCCCCTGCCCCAAACTGGCCAGGGCGTCCCACCCCCGTGCTCACCATCTCATAGTGCTGCTTGGTGAGCAGCAGGATGCCACCCACATAGGTCTGAGAATGGTAGAGCGGGTGCAGCTCCGGGGATGCCACGTGGAAGGGCCCTGCCTCCGGGAAGCCGTAGTCCAGCTGCTCGTTGAGGGGCAGGAGATCGACGTCATGCATCGCGATGTAGTCGGTGTCATTGCCGCTCTCCAGGAAGCCCACGTTGATCAAGGACGCCCTGTTAAACCTGCCGCAGGACCGGGGATTCTCGGCGCCACGCACAGCAGCCGTCGTCCCTTCACGTCCCTCTTCCGTGCTCCTCAACGCTAAATGTTCGACCAGTCCCCAAACGGGGACACACACAAACATGGCGTTCCCTGCCTTCACAGTACCGGGTGCCGTGGCTGCCCGTCCTGAAACTGCACCCCTGCTTCTCCCTACACAGGCAGCACACGCTGAGCCCGACGGCGACGCGCAGGGGTCTGGCCGCTGCAGACAGCAAGGGGCTACCGCAAACCCCGTCCTGCCCGAGGCCAGCTGGGGAGCTGCACAGCACCTGCCAGGGCTGCAGGCAGGTACCGGACAGCGAGCAGGGGGTGAGCGACGGCATTTCCAAACACCCCACAGTATTTCTTTGAATGTCAGCGTCCCCAGATGTTTGCTGCTATGGACCTGCGACACTGGGGAGAACGCTGAAATACCTGGGGGTAGAGAATTCTCTTCTTGCTTAGGAAGAGACAAGCAAAATACCGCTTTGTCCTTCTATAAGCTCTAGAGTGAGTAAATCTGGGGAGAGCATCACACCCCAGCCCTGACTCCCCGCTGCCCAGGCCCTACGCTTCTCCTTGCCGCCAGAAGCAAGCGGGAGACCCCCTCAACGCTCACAGCGGGGACCGAGTTTCGGAGAAGGGCCCCCTCGCTCCCTTTGCTCGCTGCGGCGAGGGGAGACGCTACCTGAAGTGATCCACCTGGTTGAGGATGAAGATGTGATGGCGGATCCTCTTCTTGCTCAGGAAGCGGTGCATGTAGGGCACGAAGGCCAGCAGCTCCTCGAAGCGCTCCCGGAAGGGGACGAGCAGCGCCAGGCGGTGGGGACCCCACGACGGCTCGTCCTCCGCCGGCAG